CTTTGAATGCCGACAATGCGCTAGTCGGTATGTTGGTAGGACTGTTCAGCACCTGAACGCACGCATCAAACAACACACACCACGTCACATACTTCCACCTTGCGCACAACAACAAAGACCGAAGCGAGGGCGACCTAGAAAACAACCAATAACCACACAGCCGTTGCCTACACAACCCGCGGACCCTGGCTCACGGACTGTGCTTGCTCCGCCGTCGCTGGTGGCGGTGGGGGAGGAGAATGGGCGTGGTGGCTCATCGGGTCGGCTTGTGTCGCCGCCTTTGCTCCGGCCGTCGGTGGTTCCCTCGTCAGTGCCCCCGGCGGCTTTGGCTGAGGTGGTGCCGCTTGCGGTCCCGGTCCCACTGCCTCCTCCCGATCCTCCACCATCGGTTCTTGCGGCGGTGGAGCTTGCCAGTGGGAGACCGCGAGCAACACTGACAGCTGCATTAACACTACAAATGCCGACTCAAAAAGACCCACCTTGCATATCAGTAGCTCCCACACCAACACCAACAACGCAATCTACAGCAACCACAACTAATCCACCATCCAAGCCCACAATTGAAAGACCAAGACGATCAACAGCCAACTACAACAGAAGCTACGCACTCAGCGGACAAGGGCGAAAGGAGGGATGTGATAGCAGGGTGACGGCCGAGTTGACTTCAATGGACCCGGTCAGGCGGGATGGACGAGACAGAGAGAGTACAGAGGAAGCGGAGGATGGAGCGGACGGCGGAAGGAGCAGTGAGTCGGAGAGCAGTGATGGGAGTGATGGTGAGAATGCCGGTGAGAGTGTTAGTGTTGTGCGTAGGTTTCGTGGTAGCAAGTCTTCAGTGTACAATCATCTGCTAGCTAGTCCTGATTGTTGCAATTCGTATTCCGACTCTTCGTTCACTGTATTGTGCCGTGGTCGTCATGGTTATGGACTACAGTTAAAAGTGTTGGAAGCTATCTATCAGCGTCTGTACAAGCCTAATTTGTGTGTACAGAAAGATAGTATAATTGGGTTGAAATTGTTCAAGTAACGTGTCGTGTTTAGTGCGGCCAAGCTTGGCCGTTAATGTTCTAGGTGTAATGTACTGCTGTTATGTGTTATCACGTTGTCTTTCCTTCCTTTCTCCTTTGTTCATTTCTCGCTTTGATTGTTAAAATTCACACTTGTAAATTTCACTGTTGTTGCTCTTAGTGTTATTTCTGTAACTTAGATTTTCTATAATAGTTCAATTTTTGTTTCAGTGTCCTTTAGTACAACGACGATTCCTGATGAGTGTTGTATGAAAACTTGTTTGAATCCATATATTTTTTCCCTACACCATTTCTTCATATTTTCATCGTTTTATTGCACATCGTCTCCACCGTTTTTACATTGCATGAATAAAGTACACAAACGTCGGTTCAGCTAGTTTTATTGATTGCGGTTATCAAATTATTGTCTCCTCGCCGTGTGTTTAAATTATTATTATTATTATAAATTCGGAACGACGCTTCACGCAGCTTCATTATAGCAACTTGTATTGTGGCAACACTGGCCAACACTCAGATGCACTGCTTCTTCACACAGCTGAACAATTCTTCTTTCTTCTCAACGTTTCGGTCACTCTGACCATCTTCCTGAAGATGGTCAGAGTGACCGAAACGTTGAGAAGAAAGAAGAATTGTTCAGCTGTGTGAAGAAGCAGTGCATCTGAGTGTTGGCCAGTGTTGCCACAATACAAGTTATTATTATTATTATTATTATTATTATTATTACGAAATAGTGGTTGCCACTTCGGCGATGATTTGTAAGAAAGGTTTGCTCCCCACACCGGTCCTCGTGCTATTCCGCCGAATTTACTTGACACTTGACTGACTCACGACTGCCATTATTATTATTATTATTATTATTATTATTATGACGAAGTCTGAAGAAAACGTTGAACGGTCTCTGCTTGGATGACGACTACACCATAGCTCAGTGGTTAGAGCATCGCTGGCTACAAGCGAGGGTCCCTGGTTCGAGTCCTGGTGGTGACGGTCAATTTTTTCTTCAGACTTTTCCCGTTTGTCTCTTTCCCTCAAAACCAGTTAATATTATTATTATTATTATTATTTTTTAAAAGAGGTCGGAGGCGGATAATACTTTAAAACGAAGGTAAGTTATGGGTCGCAAATATCCACGCAAACACACATCCAGTCATAATAAGGCACTTGTCATAAGTATGCGAACGTTTTCGGTCCCTTCTCATCAAGGATTATACAGGGAATGGCTCAAGCTGGAAAGACTAAAACTTATATAGCGTAAAGATAATTAGATAACAACACTCGTGACAAGGTGGAAAATTATCAAGTTTAGCACGACACAAAACTTGAAGAAAAATAATAATAGTGACAACAACATAGTGAGCAAATTAAGTTACATTGTTACCACCTCGACGAGGAGTAACACCAAACAATTGTAGCGACAACACATTTTCTTTCTGTACGCAAAGTTCAGGATCTAACTTACGGATATACAAAGCTTCTAACACAGCCAAATGTAACGCACATCTACCACGTGACAATATTGAGAAAACATTATCACTGTACAACTCACGACAATCGTCAACATGTGCCGTTAAGTTGTGTTCCGCTTGATGCGCGCGATTGTCGTCCTCGGCGTGGTCGTCCTCCAAAATGTGCTGTCCAGTCCATCGGTGGATCTTCCTCTTCCCGTGAAGATGTGACTGCATGCCCGTCCTCCTCTGCGTGTGTAGGACACGGGCCAGCTGAGAACAGCATAAAAGATGGTGCAAGACCCACACGTAAACCACCGAAACTGACAAAGGATCTTTCGGCGTCGAAAAGGGTGACGAGAAGCCAAGTGAAAATACGGACTGATGAGGACGAACGTACAACGACAACGGAAGTGACAACAACAGTCAATATTCGAAAACGTGGTAGACCGCGAAAACTAACCTCAATATCGGACACCGGACAAGCTGAAGTAAGAAGCTCAATAGAAATCCGCAATGGAGGAGACGTAACGGAAAGGACACCGGGTATCGCGCACCCAACGGTTAGTGTCAAGAAACGTGGAAGGCCGCGGAAACGCGAAGAGACAGATAGTGGTGATGCCACGAAGAGGCGAGATGACGGGACATTGGAGGAGACAACACCCAATGGAGCTAAGAATCGCACTTCGTCAATCAAGCAACATCTGTCAGCCCGTACCAATTGTCGTGAGTTGTACAGTGATAATGTTTTCTCAATATTGTCACGTGGTAGATGTGCGTTACATTTGGCTGTGTTAGAAGCTTTGTATATCCGTAAGTTAGATCCTGAACTTTGCGTACAGAAAGAAAATGTGTTGTCGCTACAATTGTTTGGTGTTACTCCTCGTCGAGGTGGTAACAATGTAACTTAATTTGCTCACTATGTTGTTGTCACTATTATTATTTTCCTTCAAGTTTTGTGTCGTGCTAAACTTGATAATTTTCCACCTTGTCACGAGTGTTGTTATCTAATTATCTTTACGCTATATAAGTTTTAGTCTTTCCAGCTTGAGCCATTCCCTGTATAATCCTTGATGAGAAGGGACCGAAAACGTTCGGATACTTATGACAAGTGCCTTATTATGACTGGATGTGTGTTTGCGTGGATATTATTATTATTATTATTATTCTTAGTGCTAGGATTATCATTTTCATAGGTGTTGTTTCTTCTCACTCCATTTCTCTTTATTAGTATCTTTCTGGATTGTTTTTCATTAGTACAACGTAGCTTCCTGAGGAGTGTTGTGCGAAAACTAGTTCGAAGTACAAATTTTTTGTTCATCATTTTTTTCCATATCACATTTTTTCTTTCTTCCATGTTCTTCACTGCCTTCGTATCCACTCGTTTTTGAAAACAATAAAAGCCTTTGTGAAATGTCGGTTCAGCTCGTTCTGTTGATCGCAATTCTAAAATTATTATTATTATTATTATTATTATTATTAAGAAAGGGTTTGCTCCCCACACCGGAGCTCGCGCTATTCCGCCGACTTTACTTGACACTTGACTGACTCACGACTGCCATCCAGAGCACACGAGAAGTCCATCGAACCTTCGACTCGGCAAACCTGCAAGAAAGCACCACTCCCTGCTCAATACACAGTGTTTCGGGGAATTCACCCCTCATCAGTTGAGCTTGAGTAGGCTGAGGAAGATTGTGCCTGAAGAGCACCACTTATATAGTGCTCTCCAGGTACAAACATCACCAGGGATACAAACTTACAGAGACGCTCCGCTTCCAGCGCGATAAACACCTCGTGAACACCAGATAGCAGCGTGAGTCAGTGTCGCTCCTGGACGGTGAGACTAGAGCGACACTGACTCACGCTGCTTGTTCCTAAACGTTTTCGTCGCCATCTCATCAGAGGATTACTGGCAAATCAACAAAAGCTCTTAACTCAATATATATACCTGATATCGTTGAATGGTGTAATGTTTCTTCAGCTCTCATTTTATCGCACTAGTTAGGGTCTAAATAATTACTTGCATTGTGCGTATATATATTGAGTTAAGAGCTTTTGTTGATTTGCCAGTAATCCTCTGATGAGATGGCGACGAAAACGTTTAGGAACAAGCTTCTTTATTTACATGAAAACAAGTTTTGCTTATGGTGTTTGTACTGAGTGCGCAGCTTACTCTATTTATTGCGTTGATTACATGTTGATCTCCACGGAAGCTTTTTAATTATTATTATTATTATTATTTAAATTTTTAAATGGGAAATCCCCACAGGCGAATTATATCATATTTGTTTATGAATGGCTGTTACGAGTAGATCTACTAACGGTTATATGTGTTTTTGTCCTAGTACTATTTTCGAGTGCTGGCTTCAGTGCTTCAACAGTGTTCACGCCCCAGTTTGCTTGCAAGCAGAAGTTGCCTGGTAACTTTGTGTAGTCTAATTTCTCTATCTCCACTGCTCATTGCGTAACCAAACCGTGTATTTTCTCTGTTTCACGCCATGTTGCGTGTATGCGGTGGCTGCTGCAGTGTGCAAGTGTTTGAACCAGGGTCAGTGTGACGACAAAGGCAAATGCATCTGCCCGAAGGGATTTACCGGAGACAATTGCCAGAAGGGTAAGCAGAAGCAGGCGTCCATACCCCCAAGAGGTTGCAACTCTGTACATGGGGTCCGCGCGGCGGAATTCCAACATTACGTCAAAAATGACGAACACGCTCGTTGCGCTTGTACTACTCCCTGGTGCCAAACAAAAAATCCGAGCACCGCGGAATGCAGAGTTTTGTCCTCTGTGCCTCAGTGGCATGACGTTATGTTGGAATTTCGCCGCGCAGTGGGCCTACAGCCGCCAGACAACCAGTTGCACACCCTTGGGGGTATGGACTTTTGGTAGAAGTGAATTTCCTTACCGATCTGAACACTTCTGCTTCTTTTTACATGTACATTTCACATTCACATTTCTCTCGCATGTTTGTCACTATTGTAATAATGCATGGTTAGTACTCTTGGTTGGCATATTAAAGTTGCTGTCTCCGAAATGCTTGTTTGAATTTGTTTACTTCAAGTGTTTCCTTTACATTGTATGCAATTCTCAAAGTATACCTTTCGTGTGAACATGGCCTCCCCTGACTGTGTGTAGGCTTTGGAGTTGTTCCGGTTGGCCCTGATTATGCAGGCCTTGTTCTAGTTTCTATTTTGAGTGAAAGTCGACAGAACAAGTATTCCGTTTCATCAAGCTCTTGCTAGGAATAAGAACATGTGCATCACCAAACCTGCTATTTTTGTGCGGTCGAAACGCTCATTCGTCCGCAATGAGTTTCAACTTCCTGGTCAATTGTCCAGTCTCTTGCCTCTTGGAGCTGAATGGGAGCCTTGACCCTTGAGGGGTGGGGTATTCCAATAGATGTGGAAAACTCGGCCTCTAGCCGAGTCGCACGCAAACTGTACATGTTTTCCTCTTATACTAGTAAAATAAATAATTTGATAACCGCAATCAGTAATACAAGCTGGATCGACATTTGTTTACACTTTATTCATGCAATGTAAAACTGTGGAGGCAATGTGCAATAAAACGATGAACATGTGAAGAAATTGTGTAGACAAAAAAAAATGGAAAGGGATTCAAACAAGTTTTCGTACAACACTCATCAGGAATCTTCGTTGTACTAAAGGACACTGAAAACTAAATTGAACTTATAATAGAAAATCTAAGTTAGAGAAATAACACTAAGAACAACAGCAGTGAAATTTACAACAACAACAAAGACCGAAGCGAGGGCGACCTAGAAAACAACCGTTACCTACGCAACTTGCGGATCCTGGCTCACAGACTGTGCTTGCTCCGCCGTCGCTGGTGGCTGTGGTGGAGGAGGGTGGTCGTGGTGGCTCATCGGGCCGGCTTGTGTCGCCACCTTTGCTACTGCCGTCGGTGGTTCCTTCGTCGGTGCACCCGGCGGCTTTGGCTGGGGAGGTGCCGCTTGCGATCCCGGTCCCACTGCCTCCTCCTGATGCTCCGCCGTCGGCTCTTGCTGCGGTGGAGCTTGCCAGTGACAGACCGCGAGCAACACCGGCAGTGGCGTTACCACTACAATTGCCAACCCCAAAAATCCCACCTTGCGTATCAGCAGCTCCCACACCATCACCAACATTGCAATCTACAGCAACCACAACTAATCCACCATCCAAGCCCGCTATTGAAAGACCAAGACGATCAACAGCCAACTACAACAAAAGCTACGCACTCAACGGACAAGGGCGTAAGGAGGGACGTGACAGCAGGGTGACGGCCGAGTCCCGTTCAATGGACCAAGTCAGGCGGGATAACAGAGAGAGAGCGCAGAGGAAGCGGATGATGGGACGGACGGTGAAGGGAGCAGAGAGTCGGAGAGCAACTATTGTAGTGATCGTGAGAGTGCCGGTGAGAATGTTAGTGTTGTGCGTAGGTTTCGTGGTAGCAAGTCTTCAGTGTACAATCATCTGTTGGCTAGTCCTGATTGTTACAATTCGTATTCCGACTCTTCTTTCACTGTATTGTGCCGTGGTCGTCATGGTTATGGACTACAGTTAAAAGTTTTGGAAGCCATCTGTCAGCGTCTGTATAAGCCTTATTTGTGTGTACAAAAAGATAGTATAATTGGGTAGAAATTGTTCAAGTAATGTGTCATGTTTGGTGCAGTCAAGCTTGGCCGTTAATGTTCTAGGTGTAATGTACTGCTGTTATTTGTTATCATTTTGTCCTTCCTTCTTTCTTTCTCTTCTTTGTTCATATTTCAGCTGCAAGTTTAGTGTTGGTACACACATTCGTTATTGCTCTCGCTTCCATTGTTAAAATTCACTTTTGTAAATTTCACTGCTGTTCTTCTTAGTGTTATTTCTCTAACTTAGATTTTCTATAAAAATTCAATTTTGTTTTCAGTGTCCTTTAGTACAACGAAGATTCCTGATGAGTGTTGTACGAAAACTTGTTTGAATCCCTTTCCTTTTTTTCTCTCCACAATTTCTTCACATTTCTATCGTTTTATTGCACATTGTCTCCACAGTTTTACATTACATGAATAAAGTGTACACAAATGTCGATCCAGGCTTGTATTGCTGATTGCGGTTATCAAATTGTTGTCTCCTCGTCGTTTGTTCAAAATAAATAATAATAAATTGTTTTTCCCTCTGTCCACTTGTCTGTCCTTCTTGTGTCTGGCTAATCTCTGGCTGTTCTCCCTCTTTCTTGTGATATGCGATGCAGTTGTGTGCACACATCCCTGGGTGAAAAAGAACAAAGCATGCGAATGTAAACCCAGACTAAATGGACCTAACTGCACAGAAGGTAAGGGCTGAAGAAAGCTGCTGTAATATAGTATGTGCCAGCGTGTCAAAGAATGTATGACCCATGGGAACATACATGCCGTTATATTGTATTTGAAGCCAAAGATACACGTCCGAGTTTGTATGCCGGATTGCCCAACGTACTGTGACCTTAAAAGTGTCTGAAATTTTGTCCTATCCACGTGCAATAAATGATACAGTCATATGGGCATCAGTTGGATATACGTGGGAGTGTTGTAATCTGGCTGTTCATGTAGCTATGTACTGGTGGGTACAGTGTCATGATGATCAAGATACATGTAACAATGTCTCGAGAATCCCATATGCTATGTTGTTCTGCCACTATTCGTTTGCTTTTGGAAAATATGTGCATCCAATCACTGCTGCAGCATGCAATTGCCTGAATAATGGTCAGTGTACTGAAGACGGCACCTGCCTCTGTCCGACCGGATTCCGGGGAGACCAATGTCAGGACAGTAAGTGTCTCTGTTTGGTTTTGTTTAGCTATAATTTTCTTCACCAGAAGTACAGGCAAAATCTGCCTTCTCACTGGGCGTGTTGCCACAGTTCTCGCAAAATGATGAAGATAGTGATAATGATAAGAAAAAGAGAAAGAGTAAAATGCCATCATGAACAAAGCCCAAAGAGAAGACGGAAACAAATCAATGAGGGTATCTGCAATGTGAAGTGAGTATGTAACACCACACCTGCACACATTCACTAAAAACACACACACACACATACACACACACACACACACGCACACACACACACACACACACACACACACACACACACACACACACACACACACACACACACAAATACACACCGGCACATGCACAATTACTCTACCCGAGCAGAGCAGTAGTGCTGGACTACAAGTATTGCTTTTCAGCAAACTCACAGTCAAAGCCGTTTTCTATTTTTTTTAGAACAATGGCTTTGCCACCTCTCTGTAGATGCTTGGAGCAAAAGGTTCCTTCCTAAGGGCATGCAGACTCCATTGTAGGAACTTCATATTCCACACAGTTATTATCATAAAGTAATGCTAAAATGATGTGACGTTATTGGACTCATTTACCCACTGTTTACAGAAAAATGGGATTAATTGATTCCAGTGCGTTTGTCTCCCCAGCATTTGATCATAATGGTCCAGAATTCCAGAAAGAGAATTGACATGTACTCACCGTAGTGTCGTGTATTACCGCCGAGCGTATTCCTGTGGAAGCCGATTTCAGGGCTAGGCTTCTATTCAGTATTCACATCAAGCTTCTATTCAAACCAGGTATTTATATGTGCGTCAACACTAAAACCAGGCTTGTGTGCCAACAGTGTATTCTGAAAATCAGACCTCTATTCAAAACAGGCTTCTATATGATAACCGCTATCAATAAAATTAGCTGAACCGACATTTGTGTATTTTATTCATGCAATGTAAAAAAAAACGGTGGAGACGATGTGCAATAAAATGATGAAAATATGAAGAAATGGCGTGGAGAAAAAAATGGATTCAAACAAGTTTTCGTACAACACTCATCAGGATTCGTCGTTGTACTAAAGGACATTGAAACAAAATTGAACTCTTATAGAAAATCTAGGTTAGAGAAATAACACTAAGAACAACAGCAATGAAATTTACAAGTGTGAATTTTAACAATCAAAGCGAGAAATTAACAAACAAGAGAAAGAAAGAAGGAAGGACAAAGTGATAACACATACAAGCAGAAAATTTCACCAAGAGTTCATGAAAACAAGAGTGTGCAGCTCGGATGGGTGGCTGTCACTGCAGAATTGAGTGATTACATCATTTTAGTGATGTAGCAGGATTCAAGCAGGTCTCTTTCTGCACAACTGCAGCTCAGTTGTACGCACTACGCCATTTCCCGCCTCAGATCTGGGCCAAATATGATGTAATCACGGAATTTCGCCGTGACAGACACCCATAGCAGAAAAGGCCCCAAGCTGCACCCTCTGGTTTTCATGTACTCTTGATTTCACCTAGAACATTAACGGCCAAGCTTGGCTGAACCAAACACGACACGTTACTTGAACAATTTCAACCCAATTATACTATCTTTCTGTACACACAAATTTGGCTTATACAGACGCTGATAGATAGCTTCCAACACTTGTAAATTGTTTCAGTGAATAAAATACACAAATTTCGTTTCAGCTAATTTTTTATTGCGGTTATCAAATTATTGTCTCCCCGCCGTTTGCTTCTATATGAGATAGGCTTTAATACAAGACACTACGGTATATCATAATTAGTACAAGCCTTCATCCTGTTGGTAAAAGCGCATAAATGAGAATGTCTGGGTGTGACTTTCACAGGCCCAAAATATAGAGAAGGATCCGTTACCCACTAGCAAAATAATGGGATTAACAGCTTGTCCTTATAGTGCTTCAACCTTGAAAATTTGAACACAAGTCGGACAGAAAGGGTTTTTTGGCCAGCGTAATATTTTTCTCCTGTACCTGAGTATGTTGTACATGTCTGTGTACTGTGCTGTATTCAGATTTCAGGACAAAGTGCCTGGGTACGGACAAGGTGATGTACACCTGGACGGCTCTCGCCGGCTTGCCGTGTTATTCTGGCAGCTGCCCGAAGATAACCAGTTGGACGAAAGCCAGAGACGCATGCAGAGATAGGGGATATCAGCTGGTCGACTTTAAAACCTTCACCTTGCTCGGCTCAAAGCTTGGTGTGCGTGGCTGCGTAAAGTCATTGCTCCACGAGATGATGGTGAACAGTAACAGCAGCCCGATCACGATATGGACATCATCCGAGTACAATCGTCGGCATATTATTTACAAGCAGGACCAGAACAAATCAGGTGGTGCAATATTTGGTGTTCATGGGTTCGGCCGTCACAATGTCATCTGCGAAGGTAAACAATTGCTTGTTTTAAAGCGATATCATTGGACGGGCAAATGGTGAGAATGCTGAGTAGCACAAAGTGCATGCATGGACAGGATAGTATGTCCAATGATAATGACGGGACAGGAAAGTATGAAACAAAGAGACAACAAGAGTGCAGCCACCTGGGTTTCTCACATCAATGTCACACCTACCGTTATAGCCAGGGTCAGACCCACACATGCGTAACCAATTGATTTCACCTGCAAAGAAGCATTTCATGCGTATGCTTGTGTCATAACCCGGTGTTATACTACTCCCTTGGTAGAACCGCTGAATGGTTTGCAAATGTGACACGGTGCTGCTGTATGAAGTCTGGCGAGCCCCAGACCTGTGAACATTGAACTACTCACTAGCTCTGGGCACTTCCGTATCCAAGAGATCGGGTGTCATCAAGCACGATATTAAATTCACAATAGCGAGAATTTCAGTTGTCTGAGGATTGCTTTGGGGGGGGGGGGGGGGCGTTCGTTTTTGATCTACAGGTTTGGGTAGAAACTACTTCTTGCGGTAGAGTTCGGTAAATCCGGTAGAACAGCGTTCGTACACTTGCCTCTACCATCTACCTCTATGGCCACACATTTCTATTTCTATGTTTCTTGTCACCCACTCGCATGCGATTTAGGAGTCTTGAAGAAAAAAAGAAAAAAAACTGTGCTGCACTGACTGTGCATGTGGGGACCAGCACACTCATGCACATGTACACAATGTGGCGTGGCCTGTGCGACACATGATGCCAGGTCGGCATTTGTTGTGCGCAGTCTAGCTGCACATGAACAGATTGTGATAGAAGCGCCTACCACATACTAGTTGCTAACTATGGATGCTGTTTTGCATGGTGTATTGGTGGATTTTAGTGTGAACAAAGGTCTAATAAACTTTTTTTATTCTTCGGTCATTTTTTATTTTTCCACCTCTCGCATACATTTTTAGATTTTCAGGTGACGAGAAAAATAGAAATAAAAACGTGTGGCCTATCGGTAAAGTGACTCTACTCTACTAGGTAGCTAAAAATGAACACAGCTTTGGCCTTGCTATTTGCACGAAACGCAGCGTTAAAGCAATAATGATGCCGCTTGTCTTAGTTCTCTTCCGCCTATTTTTGTTTCTACCCGCAACTGTATATGCCCTTTGTTTTGCAGCCCAATGGCTCCATGCCAACGATTCTGTATACGCCGCAGCAACTCCAGCACTCGGACCCAGCGTGACTGAGCAGTGCGCAGAGAACGCATGTCAGCAGTACGGACTTCGCCTCATAACCAAAGACTGGTTACAAGAACATGGCCATGTGTTAAGAGAACGCTGGCTAGAGAGATTGGCTTTAGATAAGTCCGACGGATTAGGTTACCACGTCGCGCCAATCCTGGTCAATGGTCAGTCCCTTTACAGAACAGTAAAATTTAGCAGACAACATGTGACGTTTAAGAACAAAACAAGCCATGAGGATGCCAAGATTCTCTGTGTCAGTAAGTGAGAGAATAATAAGTGACTGTCTTCTGCAATGGCTGTCCATGCACAAGCTGTGTGTTTGTCCCTGTTTGTGCCGCTAACGTGATGAAGATAGTTTTGCGTTTGTGTAAATGTGTCCCGTCGCTACGTGCACTGTATGAACAGGGCTTGTCCCAACGATGTGCCCACTTGCAATGTGCAAACATGTCGTCTCCCAGCATTTCTTGCACCCACGGTGAATCACAACATTGAGAACACTCCCAGAACTGAGATTCAGGCTGTGTTTCTTCGGTGTCTTCCCAGGGTAATTTCGAAGTCATAACAGCATGTTTTGATTCTAAGGTTTTGTTTGGCGCAATATCAGTTTGTGGCAGAGACGGGGGAGAATTTGCTCCCTGGATTCCAATTGCGAGGAATCAAAATGCATGACAAGCTGAAGTTCGACATGCCACCAGGGTTGAAATAATTTACAGACAACTTTTTGTTGTTGTCAAGAAACAGGGGGAATTCCCATGACTGTCACCACGTGAGGAGGTGAAAGTTTACTACTTGACGTAAAATCCCTGGCAAGGGCTGTAACCCTACTATTTGCCGACGGAGCTGAGAACTTTCCTATGCAAATAGACTTTTCGATTGCTCAATTCCTTTCAGGGAAAGGCGAGTTCCGAACATTTCAGCATTTGCAGTATGCACTGCACAGTAATACGGATGTATCTATCGTACAGCAAGAGCTCAGAAACCGTGTTGGAAGTGTTATGGTGTCATGCATCCCGTTCTATGGTACCGTGCCTTGCTGTCATGCTTCCATTCTATGGTACCGTGCCTTGCTGTCATGCATCCCGGTCTACGGTACCGTGCCTTGCTGTCATGCATCCTGGTCTATGGTACCGTGCCTTGCTGTCATGCATCCCGTTCTATGGTACCGTGCCTTGCTGTCATGCATCCCGTTCTATGGTGCTGTGCCTTGCTGTCATGCATCCCGTTCTATGGTACCGTGCCTTGCTGTCATGCATCCCGTTCTATGGTACCGTGCCTTGCTGTCATGCTTCCGTTCTATGATACCGTGCCTTGCTGTCATGCATCCCGGTCTATGGTACCGTGCCTTGCTGCCATGCATCCCGGTCTATGGTACCGTGCCTTGCTGTCATGCATCTCGGTCTATGGTACCGTGCCTTGCTGTCATGCATCCCGTTCTATGGTACCGTGCCTTGCTGTCATGCATCCCGGTCTATGGTACCGTGGGTGTAAAAGCCCAAGAACAACTCATCTTGTTCCTTCAATTCTGCGTGACAGGTTTTTTTTTAGATAAGCTATTATCCCCATTCTAGTGTTATAGCTGGGCTGGCACTTGCTCCGATTTTTTTTGGAAATCGTCCGATTTTTGATCCGCTGTCGGACAAACCGACCGATTTTTGTTTTGAGCACTTTTTAGTCCAGTTGGCCATTCGGCGCTTCCAGGTCACGTTTGTCCAGTCATTGTACATGTACATGTACATGTAGCTGTAAAATGCAAATGTGTTGACCGTTAAAAATGTGTTCTGGGACCCCAACAGCAAGCCATTTTCCTAAATATTTTCTCCCGGAGGACCCCCCAGACCCCCGTCAGATTTTTCTCCCTCCAAGTGTGGCAGCCCTGTTATAGACTGCATAAGAGTAATCCGATCTTGACTTTTATTGTCTTTTTCTGCACAGAGTCCTGTGGGAGCGGTGTTCTTGCACCAAGCATGAGTTGTGTATGTAACCGCACTATGTCCTACGGTGAAGAATGTGAAAAGGGTAAGACAGCAAGCCATTAGGTTTGTGTGCATGTGTGTGTATATGTGTGTATGTGTTTGTATGTGCGCATATGCATATCTGAATGTGCGTGTATGTGCGTGCTTGTGTGTGTATGTGTGTGTAGGTGCGTGTATGTGTGTGTAAGCGATTACAGGGGGCAAAGCCACCTGTCCGGTTGGTCCTGGTTTCACCGGACCACTTTTCAGGCCGATGTTTCCTTTTCTCTTTCTAGAGAGCTGATGGGAGTTCAGCGATCGATTGGGCGCAGCACCATGTGCATTATGTACACAGCACCGACTAGGGAGACCTGCATGTACTGTGCCTTATATGTAGGGCTATCAGGGACAGACTGGCGGCACAGGGTTTTTTTTTTGCTTCATGTTGATCGAGAGTCGGAGATGGCTGCGAAAACCTGTTCCTGAGATTTCTTATATTCCCATAGCCAGCAATGTTTTTAGTTTCCAAAACAATTGTGCGAGGAAACGAAGCCTGTAATGTGCGCTTCTAAGCCCTAACGGTTCACAATCTTGGCTTTCCTAGATTATGATAAGGGTGCAGGTTCAGTGCTTTGCCACACGACTGTCTATTCTTCCGGCCACAAACTCCACATAAGAGAGGTTATTCCGTGCATTTCGCCACCTGAAGACGTCACAAGGCCGTCTCCATCATCTGATGGTTTTGCAGTATTATCAAGACGGACGAGAAAAAAGTACTTTCTCCAAGTTTAGGTCATTTCATCTTAATTGCAAGTTAAAAGGTAAAATGTCCAACTGAGACCAGTCCAAAAGTGGTCGCTACCGCCCTGAATTAGGTTTTTGTTGTTTTTATCAGAACACACACCTTCCAGAGAAAGGGATGAACACTAACAAGAAGCCGTCCCTACATCCCCTGTGTCTTGTTTGTGCTCTTGAGCTTTGAAATGTGATTGGCTACTTATACTAATGTTCCAGAAGGTTCTAGAATTTCGTCGGCAACCGGTTTTCGTAGATTGCTTATTGGTTAGGGACTTAGAACATGGCTGCAGGTTGCCGAACTTTTGTTCCCTTCCTTTCTTCTTTATTGTTGCTTCTTTACTCTCTTTGTGTTCCAGGTGTGTATAGAATATTTCTTCTGTGACGATTATTTGTAAAACTAGAAAGTGAGTGCTTTGACTTGAGTTTGTGCGTGATTGCCTCCGGGGGCCACTTACTACACAGTGACCTCCTGTGCATTATTTCTGCGTCACTCACTCCATGCATGTGCTTTTTTCCCTGCCTGTTGCAGCATGCAAGTGCTTGCACCAAGGTGAGTGTGATAACAAAGGTGAATGCAGCTGCCCTAGGGGATTCACCGGCCACCATTGCCAACTCGGTAAGTAGAAGTGAATTCGTTTTACTCATTTCATATGGCTGGCGTGGGATTTTCAGAGCGTACATCCATGTAAAAGTGGGCTCCCCTTTACCATACGTGTATGAGTAGGCTTCGCGGTAGTTTTAACAGGGGTGACAGAGAACTAGGACATGTATACTGGTCTTTTTGAGTGCTCGCTTGAAATAGGAGTGTTGGGGTGACACGAATATTCTAAATCGTACCGAATATTCTGTAAACGAATTGAATAAGTATCGCCGAAGTAGCACCTACCTCTTCTTCAAATTGGATACCGGATATTCTATAGTTTGTTTGTTCTCACATCGCTGAAGAATATGTAGACAGTTCTGTCTGGTTCAGCCTTGTGAGCCATAGTCCCCTTTCCCAGCATGCCAACCACCGCATTCTACTGCCATGTACTTGAGGTTACTCAAAATTTCAGAAATTTTCGGTGCTCAATATTTTCGGTATGAGGGCAACAGGCTAGGTTAGGTGGACAGAAAGTTTCAGTACAGAGCAGCAGTTCCCTATTGGATTATGTGTGTTAGTGTTTGTTTGGTGTCTTGAAATTTTACGTATGAAACAGATGCACCGAAAGTACCGAAAATAAAAGTACACAGAAAATTTGTGAAATTACAGCACCCTAATAGAGAGGTTCGACACTACGTAAAGCTGAGCAACTTTACGTTAGTGGTACATATTTAGGACTCTCTAGCCAGGTCGACCCGGTCATACACTGCCGTGTTCCAAGCTGCCAAGGGCAGGTACGTGATTCGAAAACTCCATAAGGCGGAACACAGGTCCTCATGCAGTGGGACTCTCCATTCATCGACTAATTATGTTGTGCGGAACCTCTCTAATGTTGTAAGCTATAACCTCACACGGACCTAGTCAATGACTGCAATATTAGGCTGCGTTTACATGAAAATGCACGGCCAGTTTTCCATTTTCGGTCCCGCATTTCTTCTTTCGTTTTCGTGCGTTTACATGATCAAAGCTGATCCGAGGTGGTCTCCGTTTGTATCGTTTTCGCGCTTCTACACGGGAGCAAAGGATCCGCAAACGTTCGTCATGTGCCAAGTGTTGTCGTGGAAGCACCAATCACACTCCAGGAATAGGCCACAAAACAACACTCGTCACATGACGAAAATTGTAAAAACAATTTTTTGGATTGCCGGATCCGTGTAAACGGCTGAAAACGAAACAAACGTGACGGAAAACGAGGCCAGCATACCGTTTCGACTGTTTACACACTCAAATTTATCCTGCAGAACATTTCCGTTTTCAAATTCTTTCACCTTGGCCAGCGTTTTGGTTTTCTTCCATTTTGGTCTACAACTTTTACGTTTTGCTCTTCGTACCGTGTAAATGAACCATGCATCCGAAAGGATTTTGTTGCGTTTTCACCCCCAGCTTTGTCGTGTAAACGCAGCCTTACTTGCACATGCAAAATGTCCAAAACCAAAACACAATGTATTCCGATCTGAACCGAATGCTTCGAATTGTTATCCAAAGGAACAATTCCAGAATATTCAGAATTCGTTTCACTCCTAAATGACACAACAAAAAAGCACGAGCAGTTCTCGGGCCACACTCCAAAATAGCAATTTGTGCTACTCCTGAACTGTGAACTGTTCGTGCTGTCGTCTGCAAGTGCTCTGGTTTGGTCTGGTCTTGTCAAATGAAAAACCTATTACCACCCTCTGTCTTCAGTTGGTCATGTCACGTTGTGCTTCTGTCGTCATTTTGTTTGTTAGCAAAGTTTCAATTGTCTGAGTGTGCCGCAGAGCAGTGATGATAATTGACGCTATCTACTGATAGCACTGATTTGTAAACTGCTGCTTGTCATTCCTGCTTTAAGAGTGTCTACCTTCCAGCAGCAATTCTATCTTTTGGAAGAAGGCCATTATGATCGAAACCCAGATTTATCAAAGTTTCCCTGGCCCAGCCAGGCCATTATGATCGAAACCCAGATTTATCCAAGTTTCCCTGGTCCAGCCTCTTTTACTTTATAATTGTCTTTAGTCGGCATGACTCCGTTTCCGGCTGATTCACTCTCTCGTCTTCTTCCTCTTCGGTCTGTGCTATGTGATGGATGCAGTTGTGTGCGAGGAACCCTGGGTGAAAAAGAGCAAAGTGTGTGAATGTCAACCGGGACTAGATGGACCCAACTGCACAGAAGGTAAGGGCTAAAGAAAGCTACTGTAACATGCCTGCGTGTCAAATAATGTATGATCCATGGGTTCATGCATGCTGGAATGTTGTATTCGGAGTCGAGAAGAAGAAAAAAACTTCTATGTCGTCATGCCAGTTCCTCCAACCAATTCTACCTCTTTATTCTATTCATGTGGAATAAATAATGCATATATATGGGGAGTTGGTCACTCTCATGAGTTGAGCTATTTTGTTGTCAAGAGTTAATTTAACGTCTCCATGTTATCATGTTCAAGGACATGTCAAGAACACGCTTTTCTGTTCCTCTCTTTGTGCTTTTTTGGAAATGCGTGAATATTCCCAATCACTGCTGCAGTATGTAATTGCTTGAATGACGGTCAGTGCACTGACGATGGCAGTTGCAACTGCCGGAACGGTTTCCATGGAGACAAGTGTCAGCATAGTGAGTATTATGCTGTATGAAGTGAATTCCAGTTTGCTGGCATATTTCTGTGAAATGTGGAAATACCTGTACACATTAAAGAGACGTTGGTTTTTTTATCTACAGGTTTGGGTAGAAACTATTTCTTTCGGTAGAGGCGTTTGTTTCTTCTACTCAAAAGGGTGGGTTCTACTTTCCTCTGCCGGCTCTACAAGAAAAAAAAGGTTGGTTGAAGCCGGTAGAAGTTTGTAGAGCTATGTTTGCTGTGCATATTTCTGTGAAATGTGCGAATACCTGTACAATACCTGTACACATTAACGTGGCGTTCGTTTATTGATCTACAAGTTTGGGGAGAAACTATTTCTTTCGGTAGAGGGGTTCGTTTCTTCTACTCAAAACTTCTAGTCAAAAGTGTGGATTCTACTTTCCTCTACCGGCTCTACCAGGAAAAAGTTGGTGGAAACCGGTAGAAGTTGGTAGAGCTACGGGATTTCCGGCAAGTTCAAGGATTTGTACACCTCCATACAGAATAGAAACATTTCACGTACATATCGTGTAAACTAATAAATCCGGTAGAATAGCGTTCGTCCACTTACCTCTACCTTCTTCCTCTATCGGTAGAGTGACTCTACTTTACCAGGTAGCTAAAATCGAACGCAGTTTATAGCTGAGAGCTATTAGAATGGATATGCTAAGGTCTGATCCTTCCAACAAGGCCAAGATGATGAAAGGCTATCAAGGTGAAATGAGAGGACAAAATGTAATGTTTCGTCCTGAACTGTGGGTCAAACGATACCCGGAGAGGAAGTGCACTGGAAAGTCAGTTTGCTGGAGGAAATGGAGCTAAATGGGCGAGTGGTATTTGCATAGGTAAATAATTTTAAATTGAACTATGGTACCGCTGCTGAGGAAGTGTACATCTTGTTTATGTGTGCTTTCTACTTCACCTGACTGTGCCTTGCATGTGTACTGTGTTATGTTCAGCTTTCAAGACAAAGTGCCTGGGAACAGATAACGCAACGTACACCTGGATGGCTCTCGCCAGCTTGCCGTGTCATCCACACCTCGACCGGGACAGCTGCCAGAAGAAAACGAACTTGACGCATGCCCGCCAGATGTGCACAAGAAGAGGATACAACGTGGTAGACCATGATTCCTTCACCAATCAGACGCTTGGCGTGCGCGACTGCATGGGAGCATTGCTCAACGAGATGGTGACGAGCGGTTACAGCAACCCTACTTTAATATGGACATCGTTCGTGAAGGATGACCAACATCTCATATACCAGCAGGGCAAGAACAGTTTGACTAAAGAATTGTATGACAGTGATGGAACAAGCCATCATGATGTCATCTGCGAAGGTATGCTGTAGGATTGTGATCAAATGAACCCGTGAGAGAGATGCTCAGTAGCCAGCAACCATGGGGTAGAAAGTAATACTATGCATGGTTAGCATTATACCGTTCACGCTATTTGCGACGGTCGGCCTGTACCCGTTTGTTGTGTGTGTAGACATGGTTAGCATTTAACCGTTCACTCTAAATCCAACCTTACTCGTACCCAACACCCAAAATACCATTGGTTTGGTACCGTTTTGACGATAGAAAGCTCTGTTTAGCGGAAGAACGAAACGTTAGGATTCCAACTAGGGTACGTCACAAGTCGATCGTTGTGTCAGAAACCGAAATGCTAACCAGTGTCTTGAAATCACACACAAAATGGTACAGGCCGACGTACGGTCGAAGTCAATGTGAATGGTAAAATGCTAACCATGTCTATTGACAGGGCTAGAGGACTGACACAGAGTGGCGATGCCAAGAGTGATTACAACCTACATTTAGGTTTCCCACTCCAATGGGAAAACCTACCCATCTAGCCGGAGTCGGACCCAGACGCGAGTTACCAATTCACCCCATCTGCTAAGAAACAGTTCATGTCTATGCTTGTGTCATAACCCGGCATAACGGTGACAACTGGGACGTTCATAAATTATTATTTGCATATTTTATTCCATTTGTTCGTTAGAAAAATAACATGTCGTCGTATGCATCTACGCCGGAACATACCATCAGCCAGTCCGGACATGTGAACTATGTATTGAACGTTTTCGTTCCCTTCTTCTCAAAACACTACAGGATAAGAAGGGAATAAACTAAGGGCATGTTTGATTGGTGAATCCGGATTCAGATTAGAGTCACTGGAGCAGTCAGAACACCAGTTACCAATCAAACAGAACGGCGAATATTTTTGCCTGAAATATTGTAGAACTCATGATAGCTCACCATGCCGCAAACTTCAAAATTTACACAGACTTAAAAGATGTTTACATTGCTCAACATGCGAAGCAAAACAAACTTGAAAGGCAACTACAACCGGAGAAGAAGCTTCGAAAACAGCCAAAAAATCAATCATGGACGTGGGGACCGCCGTGTAATGTGCAAAATCACACTTGGACCTCCATGTACATCACCACGCCCTTTCGTAATCACTGACATGCCAAAATCTATTCGAATCAAAACAAAAAACGAAACTCATTGCCTAGTCCTGTCAGGTCCCTCATTGGGCTTTGCAACAAGCTCTGGCTGCTCCAGCTTCTGGGGTCGGAGTGATCAGAACATGTTCTAACACTCCAAACCTAGAGCAGACCAGTGCAGACCAATCAAACGCCCCTGTTCTGGATCCGACCAATCAAACGCGCCCCAAGAGACTACAACTATAAAGATACAAAGTTAATTTGTTCATCACATTATTATGTCGGCATCGTACGTTTTGTTCATAGCTTGGTTAAAACTTCTTTCTCCGGGACTGCTTTAAGTGCAGTTGCGCTCGGTGAAAATAGACCCAAAGTGCAAAGCTTGCTGCCCTGGATCAGTTCCGATTACATCATTGTATTGTACATGCGTACGCGGCCGCATTTGTCCCACTTCCACGGCGTCAATGGCCGCGCAAGTTGAAGGCACTAAATCTGCACGCTGGGCCGGGTCTCATGGCCAGCAATCGAGGACATCTGAGAGTTGTAATTTTTGTACTCCTCCGAGGTGTGATTTTTGCCGTGCTGGGCCAAGGACAAGGAAGCCATATGCAAATAACTGCAGAAAATGGTTGTTGTTTGATCCTTTGGTGTAATCTTTGTTTCTAGTCGAAGGTAGTTGCTGTTTGGAGCAGAAACGCTGAAATTGACTATTTTCTGCATGTACTCATACATGTACTCATGTACTCAGTCATGCAGTCTCACTCGTATTTTAGCTCTTTTTCTGGAATGGATGCTGCTCTGCGCCCCTTGGTGAACATTTCCTGCGCTCGTGGAGCAGCTGAAAAGGACCACTGGTATGTCTGGTTCCTGGTTTGAAGGTGGAGAGTCGACTTTTGTGCCTTGAAAAAGGAGTAAAGAGCGATAAAGGTACGTCTGTGGCTTATTTTTGAGTGCTCCTCGTACATTTTTGATCGTGATAGAAATTCTCAGACCAAAGTCAGACCAAAGTCAGCGCGATGATGGCCGTACAGTTTTCTTGTGGATTTTTTAGTTGTTTCATCTCGTATCAATGTCAGTATCGTGATGGTGAAGTGGAGAGGGTGATTTTCTTCCTCTAGGCTTCATTCGGCCGACTTTGCTTCGTCCTTGTTGAAAAGCGATCCTGAAAAAAAGGTCGATTCGCAAAATTATGTTGATTTTCAATGTACGTGATGACATGCGATTGCTGGCTATGTCACCGAGAGCAACTGTACTGGGTAGAACCACTGAGTGGTTTGCAACAGTGGCGTACTGCTGGTCACTGGGGTCTGCCCAGCCACATGCAGCTTTAGGTATAGCCAGCATGCTGCTCATCGAGATGTTTGAGTAGCGGCAACCTTCATTCTTCGTATGCTTAGAACATTTTTTTCACTTTAACCTCTCGCCCCGGTTTTCGAAATCGTTCTCCTTGTGCGTGCGTGTGTGTGTGTATATGTGCGTGTGTGTGTGTGTGTGTGTGTGTGTGTGTGTGTGTGTGTGTGTGTGTGTGTGTGTGTGTGTGTGTGTGTGCCCGGCAACAACTCAGGGTAGGGCTGAAACGATCACTGCAAAGCGGTTATCGATTACCATCTTTTTTTAGTTCATTGCACTGACACTGCCATCAGACAAGGTTTCATTGAGTGCGACTATAGAGTCCAGGGCACCCGTTATTCGAGTATATTTCATTACTAATGTACCTATTATCTGCCCACTACTGTATGTGCCCTTGTCCTGCAGCCAAGTGGCTCCATTACAACGACTCGGTATACGCCGCAGCCACGCCATCACTGAAACCCAACGTGACTGAGCAATTTGCAGAGGAGGCATGTCAGGAGTACGGACTTCACCTCATAACCTATGACTGGCTGCAAGCACATGGCCATGTATTAAGAAACCGCTGGCTAGATAGATTGGCTCTTCGGCACGCACCTTACCACGTCAAACCAATCCGAGTGAATGGCAACTCCCTTTACATAACTGTGACGTTTAGAAATCGCAGTAATCCATTTCAAAATTCCACAATCAATCGCCACGCCAAAATCCTCTGTGTCAGTAAGTGATAATTATATTTTAGAGTGGTTTTATCAATGGCTGCCCCTGTGGAAGCAATATTTTATTCATCTGTGTCTGCAACCAGCATAACGAAATAGCTTATCATGTTGGTTGCGGACACAGAGGAATAAAACATTGCTTCATTTGCGCCTTTAATTTGCCTTATAAATGAAAGACCTCATCCCAACAAATGTTTCAAGAAGATTCCCAACCTTAATCACTTTTGCAGAGCGATTTCTTGGGTACTACCGGCCGGTGAGAAGGCATGCAATCTGTCGTTATGAAAATGCCTTGAGTGTCAACAGGTTTCGTCCAAACATATCTGTGCCATCATGACCTATACCAACATGCATTGTGGCAATGCAGATTGGGACAACAGTAATTGTGCCAGTATATCATATGCCAACATCTGCTATGCCAATGTCTGCTGTGCCGAAATATAACTATAATGTAACACCCACAGCACCACCTAC